CAATTTTCCGTGATTTCAAATATGCCATTAAAGCGTGAGACAGTTTTAATCACTACAAAAACATTTACAAAACGACAATTTAAGCAAGTGGAACTGAAAAAAACAACCTATTTTCACTTGTCCCATCCTTCCAATAATCATAACAAAACTGCACGCAATAATGATATGGGTTCCACTTATTCGGACATCCCCGAGCTCCTGAAGCATTCTTTTCCGTCTTTTGACGTGTGTTACTTTGTACTCCAGCAGGTGTTTCCGCATCATAATTCTCAGCGATCACTTCTTCAGCAGCATCTACAAATATAAATCATTTGTTATCGATGTTAGCGAACCTTGATAAGCTTTGCTCAGAAAGTTACATTCAATTCCAACATTTCCGCAATAATTATCAGCAGAAGGAAAGCAATGTTACAAAAAAAAAAAAAACAATTTAGCTTTAATTTTACGTGTTACGTGAACAATCAAAACCTCGTATAAGTCATATTTTCTACCAAGCATATACTGAAATAATTTGTTCAATTTAATTAAAATAATGTTATTTCGAATGGAAAATCAAACCTTCTTGTATAATTCCGCGTCGTTTAAGTCGAGCTAAAAGTGCAGGTGGTAGAGGCATCACAATAATAAAGAATTTTTGTGTCACGTTATCCTAAAATTTTTAAGAAAAATTATTATATTGATGAAATGATGATGACACAAGTAAACGCAATGCAATCAAACGTGAATGCACAAGCAAATGCAGATCAGCATTCCGGTATAATACCCAATTCCACACATCATGGAAGAAACATAAATGATGTAAATCACGTCAAACACACGGCATAGAACGTCTAATGCCGGCTAACCGTAAAATACACACCTAACATTACGTGCAAAGCGGGAGTGCAGTACGTGCAAAGCGGGAGTGCAGTATTATTTACTGAAATTGAAATGTGACTGAAATAATGACGTGAAGCCTTTTGGCTGTGGGAAAGAGGTGAAAGGTCAAGAGGTATTTGTCAAACTGATATGAACAATCATATGAAAATACCGCTTCGTCTGGAGATTTATCTAGAAATAAAAGTGGATATCGTGTGAAATTGCAGAATTTTTAAAACTTGAGTAATTTCATACTATTATTATCATCATTACTCAGAGTCACGTAGATTTGACGTTTTCATAGTGTTACGTGTGCAGAACGTGACGTGAAGTTAATTAAATGGTCAAAGCGGATAGAAAATCTGAAAAAATCCAACAACGTGATAAAAAAAAATGATTTTTTTAATGGTCATCAATGATGACTGACCATTGTACAGTTTTATTTTGAAATTCAAACTGATATTTGGTTGCATATAATTTTAAACGATCAAAGCGTATAGAAAATTTGGAAAAATCATGGTATTTTGCTCAATTTTCAGATTGCAATAGTAATTTCAATCGTTTGATGAATTTATTTTTCGTTGATTGCAAAATTCACTCCAACTAATGTGCTAATCCAATCCGCAAACTTCTGTAAACAAGTATGTATTATATACGCTATCATTAACTTTATTATGATTTTGCAATTACGTTTTATTAGTATGCTAAATTTATCCTGCGCTTCATCCTCCATGTCTCAAGAAATTAATTTCAAGTTAATTCCATTGAAATTTCAATATTTCCTATGAAGTGTTTCCATTTCACACATATGCAATAATTTAGTCTTGAAAAAAAGAAAAAAATGATCTGCTGTGAGTAATCTAGTATTTAGGAGGAAAGATGGAAGAATTTCAATCAAATGTAACTCCCGATAAGCAACTCCAATCTAAATCTTCGTTATTCCTTTCTCACATCGTTAGAAATCATCGTCCAGTAGACGTAACACTTCAAAATAAACCAACCTTTGACCTGACGCTACTTCTTTACAATTTATTTCATTTATTAGTTTAGTATTGTTTAGTAGTTTAGCAATTTGACATGTATGTAGAGATAGACATTAGTATTTTTGCTAACTATGGACTAATATAGTGCTAGCATGATAATGTAAGACTATTTCTTATACACATATATATCCCCATTCGTTTCCAAAATATTTCTTTTCTACTTTACAGCACTACAATAAACAACCATATTGCGAAACATTTTTCAACCAATAATTTTGAATTTTCAACATTTGTTAATTAATATTCAAACGTCATCTCCAGTTATTAAATGAACATAGTTGCTGAATTTCCAAACAAACACGCTTAATATTTGTTTATATTTTATAATAAATTTCCTTTGGCATAATTCAAATTCTAGTATTTTATAGTAGAGATCGAACAGAAAACAAAATATTGGGACTCTATTTATCCGAGGATTTACATTTTTTTTTTTTTTTAAGCAAATACCTTTGCTCACATCACTTAATTTATTACTCATATTTATTTTAGGGGAAACGAAGAGAACGAATTTTGAATATTAACACGAAGACGTTAACATTCTTTGTGTAATAAGATATTAAACATATGATGAAGGCGAAAATATAAACATTTAGCATGTCACCAAGATTACAATCATTGAGGAATTCTGATTTGAAAATATCATGAATTGTTTGATTATAAATTGTATAAGTAAATATTTGAAGTAAGTAAGTAATTATCCGTTCTCTTAAATTCAAAGCGATTGATGGAGCAGTCAGTTGTTTCATTTCAAAATGTTAGTAGGAAAAATGAGCAATAGAATAATTAAGTTCTGTGATCAGAATTTGACATATTTCCATGGGATTTTTTTAAAAAAAGAAACATTTCAATACAAAGCAGTTTTGGAAAAGTCATCGTACTATTCGATAAAAGACGAATAAAGGTGACAAGAAGGGTGGAATAAAAACAGCAGAAAAGAGACATTTTCTGATGTTGATGAATTCGTTAAATCTTCACCGTTGACCTTCAGAACATTGAATCCTTCTTTGTTGTTAATTCTGCCATCTTTTGCATCCTAAAATTCATTCAACTGCATAATTCAAGGTTCTTCCATGAGATCACATAAACATATAAACCTTAACATTTAAACCTTTAAAACATGCTCTTAAAGTTTATAAAGTCATTCCTTTCTATCGAGAAACTAAATTTTGAGCAGTGAACAGTTTCCTCATTGGTTTGATATTCCAACATCATTCCTTGTAATCTAGAATACGGAAATTAAAATGATTCTGATTCTCGAGTTTCTCCCTCAAACTCTCAGTTGCATCTGAAACTAAATTTAAACATTTAACAAGTCTTCGTAAAAATCATGGTAAGTTTCGATCTTTGCGTTGTATTGAAATTTTGATTCAATATAATTTAGTTGTTTGAATTACCATTTAATTTCTATCGATTTTCAGATCCGATATACTTTATTGAACAAAGTAATTTATGGTAAATAGTATGAGGTAGATATGAACGTGAAATAATTCCAACGACTTGAATAATGCAATATTTGTAAACTTTGAAAAATATACTAATAAATGATAAGGAATAAATCAATTATACCATTAGAAACGTTCAAATTCGTTCAGTTTTCCTAGTCATTGCAATCTGAACTAATTTGCTCTTTCGGAATATCTCATTCCTTATCAATCTCAATAATTCATTAAATGCTACATTCTAGAAACTTATTGTCGTGCCATTTCTGAATAGCTTCTAGCTTCATTAACAAATCATTGGAAATTGGCAAAGAGCATAAGTATAACTTCTTAGTACGCACTTGCAGTTGTCAAATTGATAATATCAATATTACTATTCTTTGAATTAATAAATTTCAATTTTTAATTACAATTTTAACTCTAAATTTTAAATTTTTCGCCTTTTTTTATAAAGGTAGTCTTATCAATTAGTTTTGAGAAAATTCAATTACCGGAGATGTAATCGAAATATTAAAGGTAATTGAAATGTTTAACAACTGTCCACAAAATTCAATATATTTCAATGTACAATTGCTCAGCATTATGAACTTTTTCACGTTTTCACATGTCTTCCTTTCACATTTCATTTCCGTGCTCCTTTATTTCGCTATATAAATGCAAATCTGAGAGTATTCGAAATTAAATTCAAATTAATTGATACAGGTTTTAACAATTGAATGATAATTTAAATAACAGTAGTAGGAATAGAAAAAATAATAATGATAATAATGATGATCATAGGAATGTGTAATGATAAATGTTAAAATATCCTGCAATTTCAGAAGCTTTAATGTGGCTATGAAGCAGTCGTCATTGTTCTAATTACTTTTCAAAAGCTAATGCGTCTTTTTCAATTAATTAAATGGATTTAACTTAATCCATTTTGTAGCTGCAAACATGAGCCATTTTTAGGAAAATGTTGACATCTGTATTGTTGAATATGCAAATCAATAGATGTAATGAATACCGTTAATCCGTTAATCCGTTTACGAAAATTATGCAGGGAGAAATTCATCTTTTCCGGTAAAATGATATTATGATTAGTGAGGAAATAAAATGATATTATGTTACTTGTGATGTTATTTCGTTAAAGTATCATTAATATTGCTGTTAATAATCGATATAATAACTTATATCATCTGGGAAATTATAATAATTTCCATTACCAAAACATTGTATGTAAAAATAGAAAATACGTTACCACTCTATTGAAAGATTGTTGTTTTTTTTTTTAAACTTGTCTGTTGTAAAGGTTGATAATTGACAAAAATTGGTAATGATTGCTATGGAAAGTTTAAGTTAAATGATAAATATTGTTTATCTATCAAGTTGATTAACTAATTTATCATTAAGAGAAATTTTCCTTTAAATGATTGATTGGGAAATTTTTCTCCAAATACTTTATTAGATAACAATTCAACATTTTTTCACAATACTGCAACTTCACAATCAGATATCATTTATCAGTTAAGAGAAAAAAAACCTTACAGATTTTAATCACAGAATAAAATTTCATTATTAATATAATACTTTGTATTAATCAATTCAAAAAGTTGGCATTTTTCACTTCAAGCTTTGCTTTCCAATGATATCATTCATTTGATATTAATTCACAAAAAGTGCAAAAGCAAAATGACAAGTAACACTACATATGTCAAAAATTTATCTATAATATGTATAAGTTAGGATTAACTATCTCAAATTACTTTTTTCTTTTTCTTTTCTTTCGTTCTTATGCATCTTTTCTTACTGTAATTAGCATTCAAAATTAATTTTTGGATTACTGTAAAAGTGAAATTGTTAATCGGACATAGACATCCGGTTTCTAGGATATCATCGAACAACTACTACACATTACATAATCCAAAAGAAGCCAATACTATAAGATAATATGCAAACAGCAATGACAGGATAAATTGGTTTGAGATATTTGGAAGAGCACAATAGAAGCACCTTTTCTTAACTAACATTTTTCCCGTACATTTTCAATTCTGAAAAAATCCTGATAAATTTATATAAAAGAAAAAAAAAATGGAAGAAAACTGCTCAATAAACACATCAATTTAACAAGTCAATTGCTAATTTAATTTAAATTAATTTAATTCAAAATTAGAATGATGCATAAAAATGTATAATTTTTTCATTTTCCAACAAATAGAGTGCATTAATTACTTTGCTTTCATCAAAATTTACAAATTTGTAAATTTCTAAAATATTTTCACAATTAATTTTAGTGAAATATTTTCAGGAAAAAAAAAGAGAAAGAGAAGATAATTAGCGTGGGAAATAAGGATAAATTGGATAAATAAGTAAGAATGAAAAATAAAAAAAAAAACTTTATTCATTTTCCAAAACATTTTCCAAAACTTTTCCAATATCTTGAAGTTGTTCCAGTAAATGTTTACTGTATGATATGCTTATGTCAACATTTGCGATCTCAGCGTCATCTATGTCAATAACTGAAAAAAAAAAAACCAAAAAATTCGCTTATCATTTTTGAAATTTTATGTAAAATTTGTCCAAATATTTGGATAAAAGTTATAATTTAAAGAAGTGAACTTGAATATTTGAACTTGAATATTTAAATAATATTGCAAATAAAATTATCATTTCATGATAAACAGTTATTTTTTTCATTTTAATACCGTATCATTTTTTTCTTTTAATTTTAGTATCAGTGATAAATTATGTTAATCAAATTATTTGTCCACATAACAATCAATGATTTTTGTTAATGTGACAATTATTGCCGGAAAATTTTGACTTTGACTTTTGCGCAAATTTAATAAATTTATAAATTTTTTTCCAACAATTTAATTAATTTTAATTTCATATTGTTAAACAAATTTTTAAATCATTTTACGAAAATTACACCAACTATACTTACATCGTATCAATTGCTTTTCTGCATTATGTTGCGCACCTAATTCAACGTATGCCACGCCTAAATCTTCACTTGATTTCAAATTATTCCCAGTACTTACCAAACTTACTTCCAATCTAAATGAAACATTTGAAATGAATGAATGAAAATCATGTAAGCTTATCATTAAATGATAAGTTTAAAAGTAAAAAATCTGATTTTGAAGATATTTTTCCATACCTATTCCCATGTTCAATCCATTGGCGCAATAAGCGATATTGTCGATCATTCAACGTATATACTATAATTGATTCTAATTATTAATTCTATTTTCATTTTTTAATTCTTGAAATTGATTATAAATTATTTTCGAAGTAATAAATTTCAATCAAAGAATATATTTATAAGAATTTATTTACATTTGTGGAAGTTAAAATCAGCTGTTGTTTGTGTGTCACGTGGAAGTGACAATGGTTCACCGATGGTTTCACATTCGTCCGATGAAAAATCCAAAAATTTCCATTCTATACTGATGAATTGATTATTGTATAAAGGATCGATCAATTTTGAAAGTTCACTAATACGAACACTTCCAATGATTATTTCCATAACATAAGTATTATTTGATGGAAACTAAAATGAAATAATTTAGATAATAGAAATAGAATGAGAGGCAAAAATAGGAATTGAAAATAGAATTTAAATTTTATGAATTGAATTCATTCAAATATATGTAATATTCGAAAAAATTTCCCATTATTTTGTATTTTTTTCTTTTTATTTTAAATTAAAAAATATTAATTAAATTAAAAAATAAAGTAATTCATGTCAATTTCAATTTCAATGCTAATATTGTTTGATGGCGTAGCAGAGGAAGAAGGTGAAAAAAAGAATGTAACAATTCATATTCTTATTTTAAATATTCAGTAAACATTTCCTTTTTTTTCTGATATCTTTTGGTTCTTTTTTTTTTGACAGTATCAAAGAAAAAACAAATGTTTATATTTGTTTAAATAGTACATTAAGGAAAATATATGCATAAAATAAAATTTCAAAACACCAATTGGATCGGTTTTTTTTTTTCATTTCATATATTTTATTAAAATCATCGCCACTGACATTTGGAAATTTCTCATTCCATTGTGGATATTTTGCGCTAACAGATGGAATGTCATCTTCAATCAGTTGTCCTTCATCTGCTGTCCAGCTACTTGTCGTTTCATCTATGCTACTTGTACTTGCTGGAAAAAAAAATGCTCAAAGTTAGCAAAGGAAAGAAAAATCAAATTTAAAAAGAAATTATTTTAAATTCTCAAATAAAAAGTATTAATTTACGTGAAAATGATTGCTGAATAGGATCCGCAAATTCAACCGCATGCGGAATTTTCCGCCCTTTTCGTGACAAAATTGACGATTTGTGCTGTCCATTCATTTCAACCTGAATTTAATTGATAAAAGATAAATAGATAACTATTTGGATGATTAAAGTAAAATGCCAAGATAAGATAATGTCAGAATGTAACATTTTGATAAAGCTAAATTAATTAAATAATGTAGGGATAATAAAACAAAATTTGAAAAAAAAAAAAGAAAAATTTGGAGTAGGAAATTTCATATTTAATTAAATTTTGAAGAACAAATTTCAGAAAATTTAAGTAAAAGTGTAATTAAAATAAGTAAATTAGTAATGTAGTATTACAATGCATTATTTGATAATTTAATACATTTGTTATATTTCATTTCATGATGAATACAGTACTATTCAACATTGTGAATTGTATGTTTGAAATGTAATCAATTGATAATGAGATGAGGTTTAAGTCATTTTGATTAATTTACGTTATTATGATAAGAGATCTGATTTTAACTATTTCTGACAATGATGGAAGATATAACAGGTTCAATCAAAAATTTCACCCAATATACATCCTTTGGTGACATTCCTTGGTGACGTATAGATTGAAAGATCGAAAAAATACATTTAATTATTAATGTTATGTGCTTCCAAAATGAGACCTTACAAACCGAAATTTTTAACAAAAAAGATTTGAGTGAATAAAGACTAATAACTAATACTGAAATGATAATGCACTATATTTGATCAGGACACGTAAAATTCTAACAATAATTTTTACGTGTCCTAATTTTACGTGGGAATCGTTAAAAAAACGTGCAAACATTTGAACAGAGAATATGAGAAGAATGATAATAATGGCAGAAAGGAATTGATATCAAAAAATAGCTCATTAAAGTTGAACTGACTTATTAGTTCGATTTGTTGGAAACCATGCAAATTTTTGTCACCGATTTACAGTGATCTGTTCAACAATATCTACATTTATGCAATATGCAGATATCGAAAATAGATCCGTACGAAGGTTTCATTTCACGTAAACGAGAGTAAATGCTCAAATGAAGCACCTGATCCGGAAGATTTGATAATTCTATGCTAATAAAAAGTAAAGAGTTATCAGTTGCTCATGTATAGTAGATATACAAGGAAGAATTACGTCAATGTTTACGAAAGTATGATCGAGGTAATTCCACGATGTTTTCTACAATGTTAAGATAAATCGTAAAAAATAACTTAAATATTCCATGCGAAAAGGAGTAGTACCTGAGGAGAGATCCGGAAAATTGACAAGAGAGGAAAAGAGACAACTTGAATGACCTGATTATTAACCGGATCAATTATTCATTGAATTCTCGTCATCTTTCCTCATTATTTTCCATCAATTTCCTTTTTTGAATTTTTACAAATGTTAAAAATGCTCTCTTATCCGTGAAAATTTCTAAGTGTACGAGGAGATAACATGATTATATCATAGATTTCTCGAGAGAAGGAAAGAAAAAAAAAAAAGCTAAATCAAACCATATTAACAGATTGATTTTGCACGATATCCAACTTATCATCGTTATCATCCACAATATCAATAACTTTTGGTATTACTTTTCTAACATCAATTTTGGAATCCAAATTGAAATGGAGATTTTCAACTTTAAAATATTCATTTGTTGTAACAAATGGATCATTTGCAATTGATGACTGCTGCGGGCATTCCGTACTGAAATAATACAAAATTGTTAGAAAGGCATTTAAAATTTTATTTATTTTTTGATTATTCAAATATAAACAATTAAAAATTTCAGGTCAGATTATTCAAATTTTAACGTTTTCCATTTTTTTTCCTTTCTTTTTTTTGCTCTTCACAATGATTTCTTATCAAACTTACTTAAATGATTCATTATTGCGACAGTTCCGCGACAATTCTTCTAATTCATAGGCTTT